TCACTCATGAGAATAAAAACATAAAAACAATAAAAACCATTTTCTGGTACAACCAGATGTGTCAAACCGAAAGTGTCAATAAGCATTTTACTGATAGGTTTGCACAACGTGTTGTACAAATTTTCCACTCGAGTTGAAATTTTTCAACTTGCGCGGAAGACACGATTAAGACGAACATTGTGTGTTCGCGGCAAACACGTCACCCGGCACGACTTCTCGTCTATTCGCGTCTTTGGACTGACTTTGTATGTAATCTACTCACGCAAATAATTTAATTCGCTTTTGGTGTGCACACACCATAAAACTTGAAATGAATGAAATCACGGAAAGCTGTCAATGGTTTTAACATTTTTGTAAAAGTTAGAAATATTTGAGTTAACAACTTTTAACGTAATATGTCAGTGATTATTAGATTTTTTTTGTGATTTAATAATGTCTGATTAGCATTTTGCGTGCATTTATTGCCAGATGTAAGGGGCCACTCTCGTTTATTCACATTAGGCTATGTGTTAACAGGACTGAAAAGGAAGAGTTCACCCAAAAATGAGTTAACCTTATGTCATTCCAAACCTGTATGATCATCTTTCTTCTGTGGAGCACAAAATAGGATATTTTGAAGAACGTTGGTGTCCAAACAACAAACAACGGAACCCTTTTGAATTTCATTGTATTTTCAGTATCAGAAGAAAGTCATACAGGCTTGTAACAAAATAAGGGTGAGTAAATAATGACAGAATGTTCTTTTTTTGGGTGAGCTATCCCTTTAAAACATTTAAAAGATGCAAGCCTTGTTAATACATCTTACTCTTGCAAAACAAATCTACCAAACTACTTCTAACTGTAAGTTTGTATGTCTAAGAACTTCTAGTGCAAGGTCACATTGCTCATGCTGCTTCAGCCCTCCTCCAAGGCTGCTTTGAAGGCTCGATTGAGTCCAGTAACTTGTGTATTAAACAATCCGTCATCAAGGCAAATGTTTTAACTGGTATGATTATTCTTTAATAATATTATGATTTCTTTAAGCAGGCATCGCCATTAAAAGTTAATGAGATGAGTATGACCATGACAATATAATTAAAACCCTCAGGAGTTTCTGAAGCTGGCCATTAATAATTTAGAGCGAGCTGGAGCACGAGACGGCCCAGCTCAGTAGTCTGCTCAGGGAGAGAGAGAACGAGAGGACCGGGAGAGTAAAACTGCTTTGCCTGTCATGATGTGAGTTTACTTTGATTAAGGGCTGAATTACCAGACTATCAGAGATGTGTCACTGTTAAATCCCTCTGTTAAAAACCTTTTGGGATACGCATCTCTTATTTGATACCAGTGTATTATAAACAGATTCGTTTGAACTCTGCAAAGTCGGGGATGAAAACAGGAGCTGTGCTCAAAATGCACGCAGTGTCCTCGGAGCGGAAGTATCACAGAGTACACATATTTCGAGTCGTCCTCACCCACACAGTGCTCTCCACTCAGGGTAAACATCTGGTGCGGCGCGGGTCTCTCTGTCTCCATCTTACAACAATATTTATCGCGAAGGGCTAATGCTCTGTCCTCAACTCACAGCTGAGAGCCTCTGAACCTCACCATGACAAACACAACCCATGGAGTAAGTGAGTGTGCGTACAAAGGCCAACGCAGATAATCAGGTTACGTAGCGCCGCGGGGAGTCAAGTTCACCTCGCTTTCATTTGAATTACCCTCACATCTGTACCCAGCGCAAGCAAAGAATTAAATCATACTGTACAGCCATTTGAGAAAAATACAAAGTCAAAAGCCCTTTGACCCCGAGAAAAGATGATGCAGATTTTTTAAAAGCACGTTTGTACATTTTCTGAAGAAAATGCATGCTGCTTGTACAAAATCTTCCTCAATGCCTAATTAAAAAAATTTAGCACATTACTGTGATCACTTGTCCTTAATAAAAATAATAAGGATTATTATTATTATTATTATAAAAAGTTTTTCTTAACCAGTTAGTGTTGCGCAACTTGCTAACTGATGGATAACTAAAAACACAGAAATGGAAATGTTTAATTTGTTCATTTTAGCTTCTGTTTTTAATTAATCTAAATTAAAATATGTAAATGTATTATTTTCACAATCAAGGATATATACAATGTAAAGTGATTTTCCAAGACACCAAATTATGTACCAATAAAAAAAAGGAAAGGAGATATGATCTTACATAACTCCAACATTTTAGGGTGATTCCTAAGTGGTTGCTAAGGTTCTGGATGGTTGCTAGGTGGACACTCACTGGCCCAAGTCCCACTCCCCTGAAGTCATCTTTCAGTGTAACTCTTTAGGATTTTGTCAATGTTTTATCACCACCCAAGTAAAAGTCTGAGGTCTGATCACTAAGAAAATTCATATTACACCTTTCCAAATCAATCCTCATTATTTGAGGTATCTTGCCACAGGACAAGGTACACAGCGAAACTTAATACTTAGGGTTAGGGGCAGTGTTGTTCTTGTAAACTAAATATAAACCTAAACACTATTAAAATGATTTACATTAAACAAAAGCTAAAGAAAATATAAATATTGGATGAAAAATTGTACATTTCTAAAATTTCTAAAGCTAAAACTAAAATAAACAGATTCAAGTTAAACAGAAATAGAAAATAAATAAATACAAATAGAAAACAACTAATAAAAATGAAAATGTAAAAATTAAAAAATGTAATTTACAATTGAAAATATAAAAGTGAATAAAAAATATAAAAAATATTAATAAAACACTATAACAGAATATTTAAGTATAGAATATAACACTGGTTAGGGGCTAAAACCAAAAAGAGTAATATGCAGTGTAGTAATAGTAATATCTAATATATTAAGCTATTAATCAAACGTCCAAAGATTAAAAAACACACCAGAAAAAAGTAAACCAACATCTATTTGTTGTCTTTGCTACTTTTCTGTTGCAAATGGCTTTGAGATGCAACACAGATTTAATATGTATGTAGGAAGGCTTTATTTGCACTTTTTCAAACAGAAAGGCAAAAACAAGTTAGGAAGAGAGATCTAGAGAAAGAGATAGAGAGAAGGCCTTTACTAGGCAGACAGGAAGAACGGGGGGTGTGGTGGGCCTTCATGCAGAAAGGCAGCAGGCTGAAGGAAGACGGCGCACGTGGAAACAGCTCATAAATCCTGATTTGAGGCGGCCTCACTGCAGCACTACATTGCTTAAATGCTACGTCTGATTTAGTCTTCCCATTAGGTGACAGCTGAACTTTAACATTAATATGATAATATTGAAATAAGTGCGTGTTATTTACTTAGCGGTGGGACGGGATGCAATAAGAGCGAGACAGAGGGAGGTGGGAAGGAAAGGAGGATGATGAATGATTTCTGGACAGCTTCTGTGACACCCGGCGGCCGCGGCCCCTCTAATGAGACTTGACAAAATGGAGACATATGCAGAAATATTGGTTACAGTCTGCGTCCTCGGCATCTTGCTCTCTCTCTATGTGTGTCTCCTCCTCTCCCTCTCGCTCGCCTCACACGTCCTGATTGTCTACGATCACTGAAGCATCTATTTCAATTGGCACTTCCTTCCTGGCCCCAGGGTTTTAAATTTAGCTGGTGTCATTTACATATTACTCTTAATCAAAAAAAGAAAAAAAGAAACAAAACCTTATCGTCACGGTTCAGGAAAGGGCGCAAAGGCACTTTATAAAGCGGAGATGTGACAGACGTTGAACTGAATTGTGCGTGTGTGTGAAGGAGAGAGATATGAGGATGGTGGAGAAAACAACAGTAAGTGGAATAGAGAGAGAGAGAGAGAGAGAGAGAGAGAGCGGCTGTGCATTGCTTCAGTTATCTCTCATCAACCACACAGCGAAAAAAGCCAATATCCCATCAGCCTGCTGATATGAATGATGAGTTCTGCTGTTTAAAGCCAATACTACATAGAGACAGAATAGTGGGAGGAACACTAGATCTGCTTTAGGGCAGAAAATTGTTGGAAAAAACACAAAAAAAACCTCAAATGCATGATGACTAGGCCCCACATGGAATCTGTGCCTGCAGATGCCAGAACTCTGAATCTGAATCTACGTGATTTATTAAATTATATTGATAAATTTTGATGTGAAAAAAAAGAAAAAAAACCTAGTATACACACACTATAAGGAACATACAGCATATACATACACTATCATTCAAATGCTTGGGGTCAGTAAGATTTTTTAATAAAAATAAAAAATACTTACAAACGAATACTTTTATTCAGCAAAGATGTAAAAGTAACCGTAACAAAAAATCTACGAAACAAATGTTTTGAAAAATACTGTTCTTTTGAACTTTGTAATTAACAAAGAAATGTATCATGTTTTCCACAAAATATTAAGTAGCACAACTGTTTTCAACATTGATAATAAAAAATGTTTACACTATTAAGCACCAAATCAGCATATTAAGATGCTTTCTGTGACACTGAATACTGGTGTAATAGCTGCTAAAAATCAGCTTTTCTTTAAATACATAACATTTTAAAATATATAATGTTGTATATTGCAATAACATTTCACAATATTACCATTTTTACTGTATGTTTGATCAAATGAAGCTTTGGTGTGCAAAAAAAATTGAAAAAAAATTGAAAAAATGGAAAAATCCTTCAGACCCCAACTTTTTGAATGCTAGTGTTTTATATATTATATATTAACTATATATTACATAGTTTTGAAAGATCAAAATTTAAAAAATAAAATAAATAACTTTATAAAAATAAAAAAGTATAAAATATGCTTATCAATAAACTATAATTAAAATACATTTCTACTTTTAAATAGATATTAAAGAAAGTGCACAACTCAGTGTAAAGCATTACAAAGGCCTATGAGTGTTTCTAAGAGAACCCTATAGTTTAAAACAAGAATTCCACATATTTTCCCCCATAATAATTTTGTGTGTTCATGCAGTGGATTGGTATGGGGCCGCTGTCAAACACATCCATAGAGAGGTATCAGAAACGGTCCCTACCTTCCTCTTACCTTCTCAGCATGCCGGTCAGGATCCGAGAGCTCTTGCCCAAGTTAGCGTCCGTCTCTCTCAGCTGTGGAGAAAAAAAGAAGAGAGAATGTCCACGTTAGAGGTCATGTAAAATTTGTTCTATAAAAATAGGCTTAGAATGTCTATAGACTTCAGTCAGAGACACTGAGAACTGGAATAATGGCTGCTGAAGTTTCAGCTTTGCCATCACAAGAATAAATTACATTTCAAAACCAATTAAAATACCTGTTTGCAATAAATGTAATATTATAAATTGCAATAATATTTCACAATATTAGTTTTTACTGTATTTTTGGTCAAATAAATGCAGCCTTGGTGAGCATAAGAGACTTTTTAATAAACATTTAAATTGAATTATTTAAAAACTTTTGACTGGTAGTGCATGTTTTACATTCAATATATGTCTCACGTAAGGGGACGCATAAGTAAAAGCTATCCATCTGGAGATGTGTGTGTATGTGTGTGTGTGAGTGTGTGTTTAGGAATGCTAACATTGCTATGGAAGTGAAGCCAGAGCTCTGGCAGCCGTCAGATATGTGATTCTGGCTGGCCTCCTTGAGAAAGCCTCCTTCCCTGTCCTCACAGTCAGCAGGGACATGTGTATGTGTATGTGCGTGCGTGTTAGCAGGCAGGCTCAGGGACAGATGTGGTTTTAGGCGGGTTTGGGTTCTGGCACCACCAACAGCCCAAGAGCTGCCTGATGTCTCTCTCAGCGATGGATCTGTCCCATGAGAGTTCCCTCGGCTTTTCCCAAAATCCCTCTCTCTTTCTCTCTCAGGTCAGAGTTGTGCAAACACGAAAACACATGGTGGAGCTCTATGTGAATTAGGAACCCAAAACAAGAGCCACAACAAAAGAGATTACCAGTACAGCAGATCTAGAGCAGAGTCCGATTACAGACTAGTAAATGGTCTTGGTAAGATGATTCCCAATAGCCCGATTCAATGCCTGAATTTCACTGAATAGAGTTAAAAGAGCTAGAGTCACGCAGGCCTAAACCTAAATAAAGAAATATACAACGAACAACAACCATAGCATAACCAGAAACAAGAATATTACCGATTTAAAAAGACATTACAAGCCAACATTTTTAGACTGTATGAAGTTTGGTCGCTGTATTCAGAATCAAAATAATCTTGTAATCTTTTCCCAAAAATTGATAAATAGAAATCTTGACATTTGAAAAAGTCACTATAAGTGAAAACAGGAACAAGTGATGCAGAACAATTCTGACGAATGAGGGTGCAGTTTGCACACATGATATTTTTTTTTACATATTTTGGTCTGTTTTGAAACAATGTCTTGTCAAAGCTAACCCAGCCAGGGAGATCAAAGAAAAACTGACTATGAAAACTGAAAACAACCAAAGCTCTATGTGATTTTTAATGTAAAAACATCGAATAATGCCAAAAACATCTGAATTGGATTTCGAACCATCTTGGCATCTTGATGGAAATGCTGCTTTGACCTAATCACTGTAATATAAATGGCACACAAACATTCTGACCATGTGACAAATTTAGATTCTTTTTGAAATGTTACATTGTGAATCAAATCGCAGAATAAAATGCAACACTGTAACAATTTAGTCTCTGTTAGAAACTAAAGTAGCTAAAGCCTGTGGGATATCCCCCCGTTTCTTTTAATGTTTATCATGCAAAAAAATAAACATCCAACTTGGACATCCAACCATCTTGATATTCAGAAATACCACTTTGAGATAACTCTTGAATATGTAAAAAAACAAAAAACAAAAAACAAAAAGAGCATTCTGACCAATGAGGCAGCAGCGACTTTTGCAGGACAAAATGCAACCCAGTAACAATTTAGTCCCCATTTCAAAACAAAGAAACCAAATTACGAATTAAAAACATACCCAAGTCTATGGGATTTTTCCACTCATTTTAACATCCGTCATTCAAAAAACACAACCCTGAACATTTGGAATCATAACAGCACTATTTACTCAAGACATGCAGGATAAGTTATTTGTCAAAGTCAGAGGCTTGTTCATATACACTGAGGATGAGCAATAGTAATAGTGGTCCTTGCAAGGCACTACGTCTCTCTTAGTTTGTGTGCGTCTGTTTGAAAGAGCCTGAGTGAACTGATTGTTAAGAGACACTCCAAAAACTCTTTCATCTGCCCTTTCCTTCGCTCAAAAAGCAGTTTATTGCTCTTTCCATCTAATGTCTTCTTATCATGCTTTCTTTTCTTTTCTCCTCTCCATTTCTCCTGCCTGGCAAAATGTCTTTAAAGTGTGAGGGCCAGTCGGGGCTCCAGGGAAGGAGAGCTATTCTCCGTAGACAGCAGACCTTTGAAAGGAAATGTTTTATTTCCTTTGAAATGAGCTGCCTGCCCAACTGCCATGTTGTGATCTTTAAGCATCCTTCATAAGAAGCCATCGGAGAGGCCCCTGACTGAGCTCTCTATACCTGTCTTCTAGAAAGAAAGAGAGGGTGAGAGAGAAAAAGAGAGAGAGGTAAGACAATGACAGCAGACACGGCAGGGACAAACAAAATAGGAGGTATAGACTGAGATATGGAAAGGTAAAAACGATTATACATGCAGAGGATAAAGTAACAAATAAAGGCTGAAGTAAGGAGGGGGAGTAAAAAAGGGATCGAAAAATTAATTGCCCCCTCCTCCTAAATCATGAAAGAACTGTGATTAACCACATTATTTTAGAAAGCTGAGTTAAATTTCACTAGCCACACGCAAGCCTGATTACTGCCAGACCTGTTGAATCAAGAAATCACTTAAATAGAACCTGTCTGACAAAGAGAAGCATGCTTAAAGAGCAACACATCATGCCGTGATCTAAAGAGATTCAAGAACAGATGAGAAACAAAATAGCTGACATGTATGGTTATAAAGCCATTTCTAAGGCTTTGGGACTCCAGTGAACCATGGTCAGAGCCATTATCAACAAATGGAGAAAACTTGGAACAGTGGTGAACTTTCCCAGGAGTGGCCAGCCTACCAAAATTACTCCAAGAGCACAACGACGACTCATCCAGGAGGTCATAAAAGAACCCAGAACAACATCTAAAGAACTGCAGGCCTCACTTGCCTCAATTAAGGTCAGTGTTCATGATTCAACAATAAGAAAGAGACTGGGCAAAAACAGCATCCATGGGAGAGTCCCAAGGCAAAAGCCATTGCTGACCAAAAAGAACACAAAGGATCGTCTCACATTTGCCAAAAAAATATCTTGATTATCCCCAAGAATTTTGGGCAAATATTCTGTGGACTGATGAGACAAAAGTTGAACTTTTTGGAAGGTGTGCATCCCGTTACATCTGGCATAAAAACCGACACAGGATTTCATAAAAAGAACATCATACCAACAGTCAAACATGATCATGCTCGAAAACTCTCCAATGTGGCTGAATTAAAACAAATCTGCAAAGAAGAGTGAGCCAAAATTCCTCCACAGCGATGTGAAAGACTCATTGAAAGTTATCGCAAACGCTTTATTGCAGCAAAGGGTGGCACAACCAGTTATTAGATTTAGGGGGCAAATACTTTTTCACGTAGTGCCAGGCAGGTTTGGACAGCATTTTTTCCCTTAATAAAAGAGATTATTATTTCAAAACTGCATTTTGTATTTACTCAGGTTATCTTTATGTAATATTAAAATTTGTTTGATGATCTGAATCTTTTAAGTGTGACAAATATGCAAAAAATGGGGGCAAAAACCTTTTCATGGCACTGTGTATATATATATATATTCATTCAGTGATTCTATTCTAATATATATACATTTTATGAATAGAAACAATTTAATTCACTACAGAATCTTTTATATATATTTCATATACAGGTGCATCTCAATAAATTAGAATGTCATGGAAAATGAGATGCACCTGTATATGCATTCATATTTATGTACACACACACAAATAAATAAATAAATATATACATACACACACATATATATATATATATACATACATATTATATATGTGTGATATATATGATATGTATATATATATATATATATATATATATATATATATACACACACAGTATGTATATATATATTTTTACTGTACAGTACAGTATATATATATATTTTTTTTTTCTTTTTCTGAGGTCGAAGAGAATTGATTCAGATTCAGAAAACAATTAAATCGAGAAATTACAGATATATTTTATTTATAAATGTTCTACATATATAATGGACACAAAAAAGGACACTCAAGTTACACCTAAAAATACATGAATGTCATTGAATAAAAAGCAAAATATCAAAATGGCATTTATTGTATTAATAAAACTGCACAAGAAGAAGACCATAAGGAAAAAAAGCCACAAAAAGAAGGCTATTATAAATTAGTTATAACAGTTAGGTTATAAATAAAAAAGTAAAAAATAGCTATAAAAAACTGTAAAAAATGTAACTTAATACATTCATTCTAAATAGATACATTCTTAAATGCGGTTTAAGTGTCTAAATATATTTTGAGTTCACTGTAAATATATATTTCATGAAAAGTATCTTGTGGAATGTAGTCGACACCAGTCTGTAATCTACAATCCCTTTCGTGACATCCGTCCAGCACAGTCACACATGTAGCGGAAAGACTTGCAGAGTTATAGCAGCCGGAAGAACAGAGAACAAACGCTTGTTCTGTCCGGAGGTGTTTTTGTTGTCCAGCTATGCCCGTTTAGACAGTCTTGCATCATGCGTGATCTCACCGCATGAGACGGGACAACTACAAAGGTTTCTTATTGGTGCTGTGCTCTGTGTCAAACATTCTGTGTTCTGTCCATTCAATCAATCACTCCAGCAGGCTCACTATGCTAATGCGTGAGAGGTGCCTGAGTGCGCTCCAGTTCTCTTGTCAAGTGTCTGATCTAGGACACTTTGTGCCATCCCAAAGAGCCAAGATCCGATCAAGTCAAGTATTCGTAAGCCTGTGTACTTGCTTACTGAGAAAAACATATGTGTGTTTGTTCTGGATGAGTACTGACTCCTGAGGACCGTCCAAGGAGTGTGTTCATGGGTGTAAACTCACCCGATCGCGGGATCTCTGGATCTTCTCACGGTCACTGTGCAGGTTGGTGAGGATCTCCTGTCCCACTTGCTCTGTAAGAGGATAAAAGGAGAAACAGACAATGTTAAGGTGTGCTTGTATTTACTGCCGTTTGGCGAAATTTCATGGGCAAAATCAAGTTGCTTCAATACGAATTCATGCAATTGGGAATTTCTTGAGAGTCTGAAAGATTTCCTCACACAGATGTTGTAATAAGTTGGTCACGGATTTCTACACTGACCAAAAGAAAGCTGCTTGGTTTGAAAGTGAGTTCTGTATTGTTGTGTTGAGTTGTAATACATTGCAAGACTAAGACAAAGGAACGCAAGACTAAGATAAAAAAGGAACTTTTTTTGCGAAAATGTTGCTGAATTGTGGGTGTAAAAACTTATATGTTTGCTTAGATTTTTTAAGTTTATTCATTTTTTTATTCTGTAAGAAGACATGCACATAAACTGCAAAGGAAATATATTTATTGAATTAAAAAAAACCAACACTAGCTTCTCTATTCTTTGTGTACTCTATCTATCTATTTACTTTCTTTTTATTTATTATACAATTAACAAAATCAAAAAAGGCCTCTAACGCTAGCTTGCTCTATTCTTTTTCTATTCTATCTGTATTCTTTTTATTTATTATATAATTAAAAAAAAACCTTGCTACATGTATTACGTTAAGCTAACTGAGACTTGCGTATCATTGCTCTTTTGTTGATTTTGATTGCTTCCATTGTCCTCATTTGTAAGTTGCTTTGGATCTGCTAAATGACTAAATATATAAATTCTTAAATTAGTATTAAAGGGGTCATATGATGCTTTTTTAAGGATCATTATTTTGTGTATTTGGTGTAACAGAATATGTTGACATCCTTTAATGTTAAAAAAACACATTCTTTTTCAAATACTGTACATTATTGTAGGTCCTATATGCCCCGCCTCTCTCAAACGCTTCGTTTTCTACAAAGTCCCTGCTTTTAAATTAAAATTTTAATTTAAAATTACAAATCTGAAATGTTATGGTTAAATATGCAAATTATGCATTATTTAATTAAATATGTACTAATTTCCAGAAAATAAATCTGAACACTGTATAAAGCCAGGTTCAAAATTCTAGTTTCATTTTGTTGACATAATATGCTGTTATCACTCTATAAATCAGAAAATAGCCCCAAAAATTATAATTTTAAATACATGCACGCACACACACACACACACACATATACATATATATATATATATATAATATTTTATTATTAAAAATTATTAAATATATTCTCTAATAATAAAATAAATATTTTTTAAATATTTTACCATATTTTCAGTAAACAAAATGTTAGATAAATCAGGCAAATGTTATAAGAACAAACACTTCTGTAAAAAACCTTCAGAATATAAATAAAATAAGGAATAAAAATAAAAAGTTTGATGTATGTAAGTGCTGCTGAATTGGAGATTTCTGGCTTATGACCAAGTGTATCACTTGGAAGTGTCTTGTCTTAAAAAATTTACTTTGTCTCAAGTTATAGAAATACAATGAAGGAGGGACATATCAGGATCTCAGAAACTTGAAAGTGGGCTCTTCTGAGAAAAAAAAAAGCTGTCAAAAAACCATAGCAACCACCTAGCAACACCCTGCCTCATGTGAAAGTCTAGTTACAACCCTGATTTCTAATGTCTGGGGATCTCAAACTACATCTCCTTCTCACCAACATGCTGTCTTAAATATTTTGCATATCCCAGCATGCCGCATCAGACCGAGCCCGATCAGCACATGCAATATTCAGCTGCTCGCTTACAAACACATTTCATCTGTCACGTGCGTACACCCATTTACACGCTCACACTTAGATAAACATCCCATACATGGCGTCTGACAAGCCTGTCTGTGGTCACTGTCATATTCACATCCCAAGGGTCAAAAGAGAAAAAAACAATGAACAAAACAAAAATCCCTTCCTCCCTTCCTCCAGCAAAAACCCTCTCCACTATAAGTAGAAACCACATTAGCAGTCTGAAGAGGAAGTGAGTAAAAAAAGTGAAGTGAAAAATCTTTGCATGGATCAAAGCTACGCTTTCAAATGCACCAAACAATTGTGAGTAAACAACGCACTCATGACTGGATTACGCTACACAGGTGCAGCTCTCAAAGAGACAGCGTGACGCTCGAGGAACAGAGGAATGGGCTACATCTGCATTCGCACAGAACGAGAAAGACCGAGACACTTAAACGCGTCTCTCGCCTTCATTAATTTCCAATCAGAGTGGGGACAGATTGAAGGATACTCAGATTAGATGGAGCAGTCACAGCGCATGTGACAGATAGGCCAGATTAAAAGAGCGAATAGAGATATTAATAACCATCATAACCGTGTCCGGCCGTCGAGCCTGAGACACGCTGCCACCCACCCGTGAGTGGAAATCTTGTGTAAAGAAAATTAAGCACTGCTATCTGTCTCTGTCCAGGGCGAAAGGGGCCTTTAAACAAATGAATGTGGCACAGCCACAATGGCAACAATGCAATACACAAGCACGCAGACACGCTCGCTCATATATCACTTCAGATGATAGATGAGACCGTTGGCATGAAGGGGTCCGAGTGCAAATGAAACAATCCTGTCAGCGCTCTATATTCTACGCTCAACGAGATATAAATAAACAGAAGGAGAAAAAACTAAGTTGCTATGCACAATATGTACAATAGAAAACTTGACTGTCATATTTCTCAGACGCCTTTCTAGATAGCGAGATATTTCGGTGACAAGGTCTCCTATTCAAGGGTCGTGCGCTTCGCTATCTCCATTGACTCCGATTGTTGGCATCCACATAAGTTAACATTCATTCTAAAGAAAGTGAAGTGAATATAAATGAATTAAAAGAATATGAGGGGAGAATAGAGCAGGTACATAAAAGAATTTCCACAAAATCAAGAAACAGGAGGGTTGGCTGACTGACTGCATAAAACCTGTGCCACTGAAAACACGGAATAAAGCTGTTAAACCAAACGCCGTATAATGTAATATTCCTGCGGCCAACACACTGTAAAACACATTATGGACTCCGGTTTCTTTTTCCCCTGTGCATGAGTGCAAAGATAAATATTTCTCTTAGTTGCAGGACCGCAAATTGATGTTGCCATTAAGAACGAGCTCCAAAAGCACACACACACATACACAAAAACACACACTGTTGGACGATTAGCCGAGTGTACACCGCATCCCAGGGGTGAGAGGAACTTTACCAACCCACAATGCCACGGCTCTCTTCCTCTCTTGATATATCCGTTTGTCTCTGTCTGTGTTTCACTAATATTCTGATCTGATCTGTCTCTCTTCTCGATTTGTATATTTGTAGAGTAATGAGACTTGGACAAGAGGTTTGAGCAGAGAGTTTGGCTAGAGAAAAACAAACACTCCCTGAGAAGCGGAAAACTACACGATTTCTCTTCCTTCCTTTTCTACGAAGAAAAAAAAGAGCTGTTAGAGGGAAAAATCACTAATTTTTCACTAGACATTGTTGAGGGATAGTTGAAAATAGTTGATAGTTGAAAAAATTAAAATTCTGTCATCATCATTTACTCTCATTTTCTTTAAAACCTGAATGATGTTATGTATTCTGTGGAACAAAAAAGAAGATATTTCAAAGAATATTTAAAAATGTTTTTGTCCATACTATGAAAGTCAATGGGGTCCAAAAAAAAAATCAAAAACAAAAAATAGGCATTCGTATCTTCTTTCGTGCTACACAAAATGTATGCGTTTATGAGAGTGAATAAATGATGATGACAACTTTCATTTTTGGGTGGACTACCCCTTTAACGGTGGTATTATTTTAATTGCTATATGCAAAAATACACAAAATACTGACACCAAGATACATTACATTCAGATCTCAGGTCATCATGTGCAATAAAACGATATACTTGAAGCGTAGCATGAATTATGGTCAGTTATTCTTTAGTGTGCAGCACTTTAGATACATGTCTACTTAATGAGGTGCTAATTAATTATCACACGCTTTAATGAGGACGCTGACATTCTGTAAATTGAGGGTGTAGCTGTGAAAAAACAGGCGTTCGGGAACGAGAAAAAAAAAACCTAAATAAATAAATAACTAGACTCTGTGCTTACGAACATGGCTTCGTGCTCATAATGATATAAAATATTCTTCCCCCGTTTAAGGCCCTATTAACAATTTAAATGACCCTGACGCCAAGCTTTTCCACAGGCCTGCTCTAGTTAAAGATCCAGATCCCCAAGGCCCATTTAACAAGGATATTACTAAAATCCATAACAGCACAATCATTACCGATGAGCTTGTTTTAAAGCAGACTCTTTAACTGATTGCTGACCACAACTTGTGGACGAGATCTCAGTTCTCACTGCGATAATTTAGAGCAGAACTGTGCCAATACTATTACATTTCAAATTATCATTGTTCTTTCACACAATATTAAGCTGACTGTTTATTTATTTATGTGGTCATAATTTAATGTCTAAAAAATCAAATGATGGTACTCAAGTAGGCACTCTAAAAAAAATGGAAACTCTGAAACTAGCAGAAAACTTAGTGCAGTTCACATCTATGAGCTGCGATCCTAAATAAAAGCTAAGCAAAACAAAAAAAACGCAAGAAACCTAGTTGCAAGGGATAGTGATGACAGACTTTAAGCAAGCTCCAGAGCGTCTATTTAAAATAAAAATAAAAAAAACTAAAGAAAGAAAATCACAAATAAGAATGAATTCAATTTGATGAAAAATAATCTACTGTATGCAATCATTTCATTTTTCATATTTCAATTTCATATCATTTAAATTGTACTTAATTAAATTTTCATTTTTTTAATCAAAATCAATCTTTTACTCTAAACATATTTTCAATTATTATGTGATCATGTTTTTGTAAAGCACAGTACATCCTTCAGATGTCAACATTAAGATGTCAGCATTATTTCTAAAATTAATATTTACATAATGTTCCACGTTAACAGGTTCACCTACACTGCTTTTCAGAAGCCATGGCAAAAAAAGAAAGACTGTGTACCGCAACATAACTGC